ATATTTCAAGTGTTCGAAGCACCTACCGTATTTTTCGGAGTATAAGACACACCTTAGTTTTTGGGGAGGAAAATAAGAAAAAAGCTGATTGGCAGGTGGATCGGCCTCCCGGAATACCCCCAATCAGCTGTTCCCAGAGGTGAATTTTAGCAACAGGTTCCTTGGTTGTGAGCTCTGTGTCTTGCTTTTTTTTTTTTTCTGCCTCTGAAACTTCTGGAACTCTGTTTCAGAAAAAACTTTTTTTCCTGCCTCTGAAAGCCTCCGAAACAGAGCTTCAGAAAAAAAAGCCTCTGAAGCTGTGTTTGGGGGTTTCTTTTCTGAAGTTTTGTTTCTGATGCTTTTTTCAGCCTCTGAAACCTCCATTTGAGAAGCTAGCCAGGGCTACATTTGGAGTATAAGACTCACCCAGATTTTCACCCTCTTTTTTGGGGGAAAAAGGTGCGTCCTATACTCCAGAAAATACGGTAAGTGCTAAATGCCACTTTTAATGCACATCTGCAGTATCAAGCTAACACCTCCTTTTTGCAACAGTAATGAAACAAACTATGAGCTTATATAGCGGGAACCAGTTCTCGGTTTCTATTACATTGCATGTAGACAGGTTTGCTTTGTCCTGGTTCTGTTACCTACAGAGTGTAATTAATTAAATTACAAAATTATAAACATAATTAAACCCTCTTTTTTTTGTCACAAAAAAAGAATATTCATTCGTCCAAGTTTTCCATCATTGCCTTTTGACCCTGAATATATTCCGTTTTTTGCAGTCAGGGCATTCATACACAATTCTACTTGGGAATAAACTCCATTAAATTAGATAGGACTTACTTTTACAAAAGATCCGTGGTGGCGCAGTGGTTAAAATGCAGCATTGCAGGCTAATTCTGCCGACTGCCAGCAGTTTGATTCTCACCTGCTCAAGACTGACTCAGGCTTCCGTCCTTCCGAGGTTGGTAAAATGAGGACCCAGATTGTTGGGGGCAATAGGTTGACTCTGTAAACCATTTAGAGGAGGTTGTAAAGCAGTATGAAGCTGGATATAGTCTAAGTACTATTGCAATTGGTACATCTTGCCATAGTATGTGGTTACATCTAATCAGCTATTCATGATCTGCTAAAAGCTAAGTAGATTCAAACCTGGTTAGTATTTGGATGGGAGATTATCAGAAAGTCCATGGTCAATCCCTTTTCAGTATTGGGTTTAAGAAGAAGGTAATTCCTGATGATGCCTTAATCTGAGTTCTACCCCTGGTGTTCAATGGATTTATTTTTAATTGTGTTTTGGAATCTTTCTGAAACATCCTGACCTTGACTCTCAGTCTGACATCAAGCAGACTTTCTTCATAGGTAATCCAGACATGCAAACTGTTTTGGATTCAAACCACTTCAAATTCAAAGCAATATGTTCTGAGGTCAATGGCCCCATCTGAATGCAAAAGCCTCTTTTGAGTGCCAAGCACACTACCCAAAACAGGACGTTTCATACTCAAAATCAGATGTTTGGTTTGAATTTTAAAAGTTTTGCATATGCCTGATTAGGTAGATAACTGTAATTCTGAATTATTCATGTTCAATTTCAAATTAATTTAGTTATGGTATCCTCAAGGTCTTGTACTATAAAAAAACTTTTCCATTTTTTCCTCTAGTCATATCTAAACCCATCTGTTGGAACATAGAAAAATTGCCGTGACATTAGACCGTTATGTAGGTAGTGGCAAGCTGAAAATGATAATTTCTTTAGCAAAGCTGTGGTTTGATGACATAGTTTGGAAGAATGTATTTAAGATTATATAGCATAATTCAAGATAAGAGTAATTCAGAGTTTAATTAAAAGTTTTAATTTCAGAAATGGACATTGGATTCCTTTAAATGTTCAAATTATGAGGGGAAAAAACAAAAGAGAAATGTAAGAAGTGTATTACTTTAACTGTAGGATTTCTACATAATGAATTCCATATCGGTAACGTGCTGATGTCCAAATTCATGAATCGATTCATTTTACCCTTCCATTACTTTAAACCATCCCATTTGCAGAACCATGGATGCTGGGTTAGGCTATGCCAAAGGATAATTCTATCCCTTTGAGGAAGTCTTCCTTTCCAACAAGAGATAACATTCCATCAGAAACGTGTAAGCCTTCTGGGAGTCACTTGGGATTTTGCAACCCAGATACAATGTGCTAGTTAAAAAGCATTCTTAAAGTTGCCTATCAATTACTAGATAGGAACACAGGATCATTGATCAAAGTGTTTCCAATATCTTAGACCTATCTGGTTTTCCCGTTTCTATGATGGCCATCATACCTACATTTACATCAAGCCAGCTGAGTCAATACATACAATTTTCATGCAAACTTTTCTCCTCTTTTTTTGATCGTGCATAAACCTTCCCAAGTTGACTCCTGGCAGATGTATTGAACTATAACCAGCTGCAATAAGCAGCACTCCAGGTGTCATATAGCATAGTCCAGTAGGGAGCTGAAGATCAGCCCTGGCATAAAGGAGAGTTAGAACAAGCTTGAGTGGCTTTTGCCTTCCAAATTTAGCCATGGAATTTAAAACCAAGAGGGAAACTCCAGGCTTCCAACATGACTTTCTGCCAAAATAGTGCCAATCTTGGATCGCTTGAGCAAAGTCCACCATTTCCAAAGCCAATTACAACTGATTCTACATTGTGCACTGAGTATGTATCTCATTTCCTTTTCCCTCCCTCTCTCCCTCCCTGGCATCAGAGGCCAAGCAGTCTGAATGTCACTATGTAATAAACCTGATGCAAAAGATGTCAAACATTTCTAAACTACGTGGTGCGACTGCCTTTTCCAATAAATCAGGAAATCGCGTTTTGAAGTCTTTAAAGTCAATATTTATTTTTGTTAATTAACTGAAAGCGTAATGGGTCTGTCTAGTCTCTCTTCCAATACTCTGATTAACCAGTCTCAATTTCAGCGCACAGCCTGCAGCACTTCTATTTTTACCTCAGATGGAAGAGTCTTAAATTGCTTATTTTCTGTTTACTAAAGTCATCCTGTTTGTTCCCATGGAAACCGTGGCAAGTGTCACAGCTTAACTGTTTTATTAAATGGATTGAAGCCACAGCTACAACGTTTGAAAGGCAAGACCTGTCAGTCTTTATGTGTGGCTTTATGCAGTCGTAAAATGACACGCAACAGGAGAAACAATATAAATTTTATTTTGTGATATGTGCTAGAGTGCCACAGCCTTCCCAAGTTGACACCCTGCAGATATATTGAACTATAACTCCCATCAAAGTATGGCACTCAAGGTGACTAAATATAGGAAGAAAAACATGAAAACAAAAGGGTGAAAAATACATTTAGAAACATTATATGAACCTAATCCAATACTGACAAGGAGCAGTGGTCAAGAAGACACTGTTGGAAGGCTAAAAATAAAGGTGTATCTTGACCCCTTTCTTAAAAGCAGAGAAATGTCAAAGCAACTGCAGATCCAAAGAGGGTCCCTTGATATTTCAGGAGCCGCACAGAAGACCTTTGGCCAGATGACTAACCAGCGGTCCATGGCATTGGGAGCTATCATTAGAAAGGCCTCCCCTATAGGAATTAACATCCAGGATGGGTCACCACGAAGCAGGTGGTTCTTTTGGAGGCCAATCTCATGGATTGAGTGCCAAAAAGTGGTCAAGTCAAGAGTGCAGATGATTCCTAGTGCGGTTATTGGGGTGTCATCATACAGCAGACTGTCTCATTTTGCTGCAGTGCTTTAAGAGTTTATTCTGATGATAGTAGTCCATAGGCTTGACAGCTGTTATCTGGTTTTTGTTTTACTCTGGGCATCAGCCTAGACTCCCAGGCAGAGGAGGAGTCTTAAAAGTTACTGTGCTGTAAATAATTAAATAAGTAGCATGTTCTGGAAGGGGAAAAAAAAACAACAAAATTCAGTCGATTATGTATCTATTTTTAAAAGCTAAATATAAAAAAAGCAAGCTAAATATAAATGGTACAGAAATGTGCCCTTTTTGCTGACTTCAGTGTCTGCGCTGGGCTTCAAAACCAAAGGGCATTTTTCCACATCTATTTTTGTGCCATTTCACTGATGCTTTCTGCATGTTTTCCATCCAAGGAATGTGAGCGTGATGGCAGGGACTCTTGCCATTGCTTTCATAGGCTGCACCAACAAAAGCACAACTTAAACCAGATTGCTGAGCCAGAGGGACAGTTGCTGCCATAGTTTTGTGGGTTGGGGGCTAAGTAACCTCAGTTAGGATTTGCCTGAAGTTTGTGAAAAGTGAACCGGCACTTGTAAGTTCCTACGTTTCTGCTTCTAGCCAGAACAGTCTACATTTGTGTGTAATGTGTGTGTGTGTGTGTATGTGTGTCTTTATGTGTATGCACTGAGAAAGAGAGTGACAGCCTGGGATTGAGCACACTGGTCAAACAAATGCTTCCGTTTTTATCGAATTGAATACAGTTCTACATTTTTGACCACTCTGGCTTTGGCTGAAGCGTATCAAGATCCAACACCTGTTCCTGACATGGTTTATTTTGACAGCAATCCCAGAAGATTCTGTGCATATATACCTCTGTGCAGATGACCAGGAAAAACCTTTCACGTGACCACTTATAAGCCTTTGGAAAACCATGTCTACCTCAGTGCTTTGGGGACCAAAAGGGCTTCATTTGTGGCATTGCCATAAATAAAGTTCTTAATCATTTGTATGAGTCTAAAGATGAAATACATTTAACTTGGTTGTTGATACTGAGTTTCTTCCCTGGTGGGATTCTACACATGTGTCCAAAGCTTTTGTGATGCACAAAACACAATTGAGGGAGAAGCCACCATGCAAAATGTTCTGGAATGGAGCACACTGAGTTTGAATTGTCAGAGGGCAGTCACAACAAAACAGGTGTGCCTGTATTTCTCTGATTGGTGACCATTTTGGAATCTCTTGTAGGGAAGTACCATAATTGGAACTGAATTATTTCCACAGAAACTTTTGTTGATGTTTTTCCCTCTTCTTTATAGGGTCTACCTTCATATGTAACACCCACATCATCCCAGTGAAAAATCAAGAAGGAGTGGCTATGATGTTTATTATTAGCTTTGAATATGCAACTGATGAAGAAAATGTGGAGTCTCCAGAAAAATTCAGCCAGATACTAACAGCCAAAGTTACAAATCGTAAGTATATGTATCTTTACTAGGGGTATCTCTGAGTAAGAGAAGTACAATTCTTGAGCAGGGGGTTGGACTAGAAGACCTCTAAGGTCCCTTCCAACTCTTGTTATTCTGTTACAATTAAGTAATGATCATAGCATGTTCATTAGAAAGAAAATCTATGGAATGGAATGAGCATAGTTTATGGAGAAGTAGATGCTTTTGTTAACAATTCCTGGGTTCAATTATTATATTTACATTTGAAAAATATGTGCCATAAATTCAAAATGATTATTGTTGTTTAATTGTTCAGTCGTTGCTGTTCTTTGTGACCTAATGGTTAATACTGACATATAAATGACTGCCAATATCTTAATAGTATTAATCATGCTTTCATACAGATTCACATATACCGTAATTTTAAGCTTCAAATTCTGGAACGTTCATTTTTATGATAGCTTAATTAATTGTATTCAGGGGTAAATGTGTGTCAACCAGTTCAAAGTGGGGACAGCTTTGCCTCCAAATTAAACAAAATCCAAATTAGAACCATAATGAGGGATAGAGTCATGGCCACAATATCCAAAGAGCTAGGTTTTTTCATATCCAAATTCTATATGACAGGGTGAGAAGAGGGAACTAAGAGCTGTAATTTTGTGACTGGTATAAGCAAGAACGCTAACAAAAAAAACCACACCAATCTTATCCTAGGACTATAATGCTTTGGTATATCCTGATGTATAATCAATCGTATTAGTTGTGCTATTTGATTTCTGTGTGATTCCAAACTGCCACAACCCTTCTTTGCTACGCAGCCCTTGGGAACACAAGATATTATGCTTCTGGCTAGACACTGCAGACTGTGGGCTTCTGTTGCTGGAGGTTTATTCATTATGTGATTCAAATAACTGCAGTTTTATCTTTCACTTGGGAGGATCAGCAGGAAAGATTTTCCATCTGCCTGGAGCTGCTGTTCTACTCAGAAAGAAAGAACAAAAAGCCTCTAGCATCCTGAATCTCCTTCCTATCCTCCATTCCAGAAACAGGCAGCCTGATGCCTCCTGATGAATTAATGTGTACTGGCATTTCCACAGATTCCAGTGGGAGTTTTTTTTCTTTTTTTTTTTAGGAATGAGATAGTAAGTGACAAAAGGTTAACCGATTAAAAAGAATTACGAACAAAGGGAGAGGGGGAAAAAAACAGCCAAAAGGAAGTATTGTGCCGTAAGGGCTACATTTTAAGATTTTTGTCTTGAACAGAAAATGAGCAGAATTACATATCTGTGTAGCAGATACTAGACCTATTTGGAACAATGAGTTCGCCTAATAGATATTATGGCTGCATCAGAAGGGGGTTTCCTGGGGCTTTCCCAGTGCGTTTATGGCCAGTCACAAAACAAAAAAAGTCAGATGGGCAAAGACACCAAGCGCAAGTCAATGCACACATTGGCCCCATAGTTACCCACAGTTATAATTAAGCCATAACATTTCTCTGCAAATATGAGCTCCAATGCAGCATTGTGGATTTTGAACTGAAGTCAAGTTGCATATAGAAACTAGCGCTCTCTCTCCCTCCCTCCCTCCCTCCCTCCCTCTCATTTGAGCAATAGGACAGGAAGAGGAAATTAAAATAGCAATTCCATTGTTCTGCTTACTGGAGCAGGTCTCTATAGTGTGGGTTACATAAATGTCTTAGCTTAGCGAACCAAGACATTTAAGAGTATAGCAAAGCATCTTATACAATTTAGAATTCCCTTTGGTGTAGCCTGAACCTGGAGATCACTACTTTTAAGACAAAAATGGGGGAGGTGGAAAATCTTACCTTTCAACAAATACATTAATTTAGGGAAAATGGCAACAAAATGGAAGGAAGGTGTTCTATCAGTTTTCAGTGGTCACTGTCAGACAATGACCAAAGAAAACAGGACTGTATATGGTTCTTAACTTTCAAATGATATATTTCTGGCCCTGGGTTTTGTCCTAAAGTATAGAAACAGTTGTATGAGTGTTTGGATTCTGAAGTTTGAACAGGAATACAATGACACAGCCACATAACATTTGATACAGTAATAAAATTAAAATCTTTTAAGCTGTCTTGTCTCCCAGATTTCCTAGCTGGAACATGTCTTGGAGATTCTCTACTTCTTTACTAGTTTTTAATTATCTAGTTAACTTTTCCGTTGCTATACACAACCTCAGGCAACTACTCTGACACCAAAATCAATAGTCCAGAACACTGATTACTAATAAATGAGCTAATAGCGTTATCAAATCATCTAGAGGAGAGTGTCTAACCTTGGCAACTTTAAGACTTGTGGATTTCATCTCCTGGAATTCTGGGAGTTGAAGTCCACAAGTCTTAAAGTTGCCATGGTTAGACACCCCTGATCTAGACTAGAGCTTCAGCTAGTGAGGATATGGTCATTAAATGGTCTGGCCAGTCTTGCTGTAAATTTTGTCCGTGATTACCTTGATTGTGATATCTTCCTTTTGGATATACAGTTGGGGACAATATTTGAAGAAAACATTTATGAAATTAAAGGAAAGCAGAGATTAACTGGTATCCTGTGTAATATATAAACACAGATAAATAACTCTTTGATCTTGCAAAAATACCAAATGAAAGTTATCCAAGCAGAGTTGGGGGAGAGCATCTGACAACCCTTATATAGTTGTAGACAGATCCAACTCAAAAAGCAATTATAATCAGATAACTCATGTACTAAAAAATAGATGCCGAACCAAAATGTTACTGAGAGAAAAATCATAGTTCTTCACCAAGATATGAACCTTTGACAATTTCATTAAAAACTACTTCATAATGTCACAATTACAATCTTGGTTTTGCGAATATAGATTTACTTTTATTTATTTATTTATTTTTGCTTCACCTCTTTTTTCAACATTTCCACATGGCTCAAGCCAATAACAAAGCAAAACTGTGCAGCGCTATACAGATGCCTGAATCTAGATGAGCTGTTTTAATTGTGGCCCAAATTTAAAAAAAGATTTCCTTTTCAGGAAGTTTCATTACATTCTTTATTTTGATAAACCTTTGTTAGATTTTCGAATTTACCATTTTACAGATTGAAAAAATGAACAGGATTAATTATTTAGTCATATGTTCTGCAGTAAACACTGACTACGGAAGAATCTTGGAGGAAGATATAAGGCAGTTGCTGACTGATACATTTTTATGAAGCCATGAGTAGCTCATTCCTATCCTTGCTTTGCTTATTTAGTCACAAATCCTGCTCAGAAAAAAAAAAAACTCCTTTAAATTCAAGCATTATTCATTTTTGATTACAGAGCATATGAATATGCTATGTAAGAAAGAAATTCTGGAAGAGAAAAAAAGTGCGGGAAATGTTGCAATGATACGGTTAACATATTCATAAACGATCGTGTTAAACAGCCATTATAATCTATTACACTTGACAATAGATTTTTTTTAGTTACTCCAAAAGTTATATAAAAGGATAGAACAGAATATTATAAAAACTTTGTGAGCCTTATGTGGCAAAATGTTATATTATTAATATTCTGCTTACTTGGTCTGTTTTATTATTTAGCATAGTACTTGGTCTTACAGAGCTGAGCTTTACATCAAAATAACCTGTAAATAATTAATCTCCCTCCACCTCATATTATGATTGATTCTAAAATTGAACATATATCTGGCTTCAAAAGCCTATCTGGTTAGGAATGCCTCAGGTTCTCAGATCTCCACCTATAAATGCAATGTGACGAGTGTTGTCCTTTGGATATGTATTGATTGTCCATCTCCAACCCTTTTTATCCTGTGCTGTTGAATATTGTAAACTGGACCAAGAAGCAGAAGCAAAAGAAGGTTACAGCAAATAAAACAGTTTCTGTTTTATTTTTTAACAAGTGAGAAAACATTGGCCCCAATTTTATTGGTTACAGGAGATAAGATCTCCATCCAAACTCTTTACAGGGACATCTTTATTAGTGGCTGCATAATCATTCACTAGCCAGCTGGGGAGAAAAAATAATCTCCCTAGATAGCATGAGCCAAAGTCATACCACAATACGTCAATGCAGCTGGACTGGGCCTTAAACCTTCGCCTGCCGTGACCCATCGCTAGAGCCCCAAACTAGAATCACAGGTCACCCTTCCTCCTGTCACCATGGTTCTGGCCATATGCCTTAAAGCAGGGGTGTTAAACTCGTGGCCCGCGGGCCGTATGCATCACGTGCTGGCCACCCCCACCCCCATTTTAGCAAAGGGGGGGAAAGTTGCGACACATCTCGTGACAACAACGTGTCTAGAAGTGACCCTTAGAAATCCTACGGTCTAGAAAGAGAATATTCATATAATTTCAAAAGAACAAAGGGAGAGTTTAAATCAACCGATAACTTCTGAGGAAATTATGTTTGCCATTAAGCAGTTGAAAGTGGGTAAAGCTCCTGGGACGGATGGTTTGACAGCTGTTTACTATAAAAATCTACAGTTGGAAATGGTTGAACCACTTAAGAAATTATTTAATAATATACAATTTGGAGGAGGGGCACCTCCGTCTTGGAAGACAGCCTTTATTTCTTTGATCCCAAAGGAGGATCAAGATCACACGTATCCAAAAAATTATAGGCCGATATCACTTTTAAATACAGATTACAAGATTTTTGCTAAAATATTAGCAAATAGATTAATGACAGTTATGCAATAAGTGATTCATCATGACCAAACTGGTTTTATAAGTGGTAGACAAATGAAAAGTAATGTAAGGCAAATTGTTAACTTGTTAGAGTATTTGGGGAAGAACAACCAAGTCCCTGCAGTGTTAATATTTCTCGATGCGGAGAAAGCATTTGATCGATTGAACTGGCATTTTTTATTGAAATTAATAGAAAAGATGCAATTTGGAGAATGTTTTACACAAGCTATTAAGGCAATATATCAGAAGCAAACAACGCAAATAATAATCAATCGTGGTTTAACAGATACTTTCAATATAGAAAAAGGAACAAGGCAAGGATGTCCCTTGTCTCCATTATTGTTTATCTTATCGCTGGAACTTTTGTTGAGTAAAATATGTGGGTCAGATAAAATAAAGGGAATTAAAATTAGGCAACATGAGTATAAATTACGAGCATTTGCAGATGACTTGGTTGTTACTTTAACCCAACCAGCACAATCAGTTACAGGTTTAATGGATACAATTAATCAATATGGACAAGTATCTGGATTTAAAATAAATGCAGGTAAAACAAAGATAATAACTAAAAATATGACTATAAATCAAAAAGAAGAAGTAGAAAGACTAACAGGATTTGAAATAGTAAAGAAGGTCAAAAACCTAGGGGTTTATATTATGACTTCAAATGTGTAATTATATAAGCATAATTATGAACCGTTGTGGCAAAAAATACAGAAAGAGCTGGAAAAGTGGAAAAAACTACAACTGTCTTTGTTGGGAAGAATAGCTGCAGTAAAAATGAATGTTTTGCCAAGGTTTTTATTTCTTTTTCAAATGATACCAATACTTAAAAAAGATGAAAATTTGAAGGAATGGCAGAAGGGTATTAGTAACTTTGTTTGGGCAGGAAAGAGACCGCGAGTAAAGCAAAAGATAATGCAAGATATGTACGTGAAAGAGGAGGTCTCAAAATGCCCAATTTAAGATTGTATTATGAAGCAGCTGCTCTTTCAGCAGTTAGTGATTGGATGAATTTAACAGAGGAAAGAATGCTAAACATTGAAGGATATGGTTTGGTTTACGGTTGGCATGCTTATCTATTATATGATAAAAGAGTGGATAAGACCTTTAAAAGTCATATATTAAGGAATGCTTTATTGCGTGTCTGGAAGAAGTATCAATATAAATTAAATGATAAGTTACCAATGTGGACAGCACCCAGACACGCGATAGAGAATATGTGTAGAGCAAAAACAAGATGAGATTATATATAAGGAGCTTCTTTATAAAGAAAGAGGCATACTACAATTAAAACCTATGAATCAATTAAGAGAAGAAAGAATAATTAAAACATGGTTTCAGTCAGCTGCAAGCCAGATGGAGAGAAGATCAAAAAATTGGTATTCGGCAAGAGGATGAGAATCTGGTAAAACAAATTAGAGACAAAGGTCAAATGCATATAAAAAGGTTGTATAATGCACTGGTTGAAATAGACTCAGAAACAGAGCTAGATAAAATGGGCACAAAATATTGGAGAACCAATAATGATGGAAACATGGGAAAAAATATGGGTTAGAAATATAAAATTTACGCAAGCCCAGAACTTAAGGGAGAATTTTTATAAAATGTTTTATAGATGGCATTTAGATCCTAAAAAGCTAGCCTGTATGTATTCAAGTTTACAACCTAAGTGTTGGAGATGTGATTGTGAAGATGCTACGTATTATCATATATGGTGGACATGTAAAAAAATTAAGGCTTTTTGGATAAAAATATGGTGGATTATTCAAAATATTTTAAAGAAAAAGATAAAATTTACCCCACAGTTTTTTTTTGTTGGGCATAGTTACAGACTGTACGGTTATAGAGACTAAGCTGATTTTAAATTTAATAATAGCAGCTAGACTTTTGGTGGTGCAGTACTGGAAGAAGGAAGATTTACCTACGATTGAGGAATGGACGTTAAAAGTAGTGAACCTGGCAGAGATGGCAAAAATTTCAGCGTATTTGAAAGACCATTCAAATGAAAGATATATATTGGAGTGGAGAAGATGGATTGAATATATTCAAAATAAGTATCAGACTAAAAAGCTTCAAATAGCCTATGAATGGAACATTCAATTTAGTTTTTAGTTTATGTCTATAGTTTGCTTTTGAACTATGTGGAGTTAAGGACCAAGGGAGAATTTGAGTCTATAAAATGCTAGCACATTTTAGTTTATGATTGTTAAATGCTATACCCTGTACTTGCTCTGGGAAGTCTGGGGAGGGGGGTGGGGGGAAGGGGGAGGAAGGGGGGTGGGAGGGAGGCGGGGAGAAAATGTTTGTATCTTTGATAAAACTTTTTAATAAAAAAAAAAAAGAAATCCTACAGTCTTAAAACTTATCCAATGTGCAAAAGGTGCTATCAGTCTGAAAGGCCTCCCTCTCCTTAGATAATACAAGTGCTGCATATGATTTAGTGTGATAAATCATGTGACACTGATCACCTACTGATTTTAATATGTGACCGAAGATTTGAAACTAAGTCTCTCAGTTCTAGTCTAGTGCGGCTTATTAGTTAACACTCATCAAATAATGGTTTCCATTGATTCAGATGCATAGATTAATTGAGTGAAATTACATCCCCTCAACAATCCAAATATTTACCTCTGCTATACTGCTGATTTGCGTTCATCTCGAGTCATTTTGCCATCCCTGTCTGAGCAACAGAGTTTTTAGAAAGCTTTATTTGAATTATTGTAAAAATCAAATCTTCTATTAAAAAACAATGATGATGAATAGCTTTGCGCATAAATCCTAGCAACAAGAGTTTTTTCTGATCTGGGTTCTGGATTCTGGATCTAGCAGTGCCAAAGGGGTTGGGCAAAATGACTTGCCTTTAATTGTTAACCATTCTCTTCTGTCCAGATGCTTTCTATATCCAACTGAAATTGGCAAAGCACTCAGCTGTTTGATTTTGAAAACAACTTAATACACCACTATTTGGTGGATCTATAGCCATATTGAGACAAATGTTCTTGTGTGTGTATTCTGCTGTTTCATGCCTTAAAGGCTAGCCTCAAACTGTCTTCTTATTAACTTAATGATTTAAAAGAAGTATCAAATGCTCTCTGTAAGTGCAGTTTTACTTGTATTTCAGATGGTAACAACCTTTCAAGAGGAGCTTCATCAGGTAATTCTGTCTATTGAAATATGGTTTGCACTTGTTTCCTTCATTTATTTTACTTGAGTTGCAAAGTTCAACTTTCTAATATCCTAAGTGTAGCACTTCCCCCAAAAGGGCCACTGGCAATCGGGCCCTTCTAAGCCCTTTCCCAGGTGATCAACCCACCTAGCCCAGGCATACCAACACCCTCCCTTGGAGGGAGTTACAGCCTTTAATTAAAATAACGACTGTTAAGATAAAAATCAAATCAAGCATCACAATAATATCAAACATTGAACCAGTGAGCAAAATGTCCCAACAACTGTCCTTTCTGGTCAAATGGCCCCTCACCAATCCTGTTGTCTCATTAGCCCTAAGCCTCATTATGAGCCGTGGTGGCTTAGTGGTTAGAATGCAGTATTGCAGGCTGACTCTGCCCACTGCCAGGAGTTTGATCCTGACCAGCTCAAGGTTGACTCAGCCTTCCATCCTTCTGAGGTTGCTAAAATGAGGACCCAGATTGTTGGGGGCAATATGCTGATTCTGTAAACCACTTAGAGAGTGTGAAGTGGTATATAAGTCTACATCAGGGGTGAAATCCAGCAGATTCTGACAGGTTCTGGAGAACCGGTAGTGGAAAGTTTGAGTAGTTCGGAGAACTGGCAAATACCACCTCTGGCTGGCCCTAGAGTGGAATGGGAATGGAGATTTTGCAATATCCTTCTCCAGGAGTGGGGAGGGAGTGGGGATTTTGCAGTATCCTTCCCCTGGAGTGGGGTGGGAATGGAGATTTTGCAGTATCCTTCCCCTGGAGTGGGGTGGGAATGGAGATTTTGCAGTGTCCTTTCCCTGGAGTGGGGTGGGAATGGAGATTTTGCAGTGTCCTGTCCCTGGAGTGAGGTGAGAATGGAGATTTTGTAGTATCCTTCCTCTGCCACGCCCACCAAGCCATGCCCACCAAGTCACACCACGCCCACCAAGCCACGTCTACAGAACCGGTAGTAAAAAAATTTGCATTTCACCACTGGTCTACATGCTATTGCTAACATCAGGCCCAGTGAGAGGCCTATCCAGTCTCCCTTTCGTGGCAGCCAGGATGCAGGATGCAGACTCTTTACCTGGAGTGGCAATCTCATAATCGCTCTCTCTTTCTGAAGGAATGCAGTCTCTTTCCCTCTTAACAGTTTGCCCTTTCCTCTCCCTCTCAATCCTGTTTTATCTCGGCTCCCTGAAACTTCCTCTTACTCCGCCTTCTGGGGACTATATATCCCAGGAAAAAAAAAAAACTTCCCTCAGGGGCTCTTCCTATCCCCATTTCCAAGTGTAAAGCCCCATCCATCCATCCGTCCATCCATCCAGGGAACGCTGCTAATAGAGCAGGCTACATAAATATTCAGCTTTCTGAGTATTGTTTCTAAATATTGATTGGATCTGAAGACTTTTTTATTGTCATCTCGAACATCCGCGCTGAGTGATTCCCTCATCAAATTATCCCACATCCACAATGGGGAGAGAGTTAATAGATGTTTAACATTCTCTTTTATTGATATTTAATAGACCTCATTCCTGAAATTCAGCAACAAAAAACCAAAAGTAAGGGTTTCCCTACCCTATGACAGCTGAAGGAATTCTGGGAGTTAGAGACCACACATTTTAAACCTGCCAAGGTTGAGAAACACTGACTTAGGCAGAGCTTCCTTCAGTGTTGTGGGTCATAAATCAAAAAAGCCTTGCTTGCTTGGTGAACTAATAAAAACATCATCCATACACTAATCTGAACTATCAGTCTCAGTATAATTTCACCCAATTGATCTGTGCATCTGAATCACTACAAATTATTCCTTGAATGTTAACTACTATATACAGTAACACAAGAGGAACATGGATCTTAGCCTGAGATATATTTTGAATCTGGTTTGCTCATAACTCAAAGTTATAATGTATTTTTTGGGCTCAGAGTTCTAGTTAGTTTTCCTGCCATTTTGAACCATGGCTTTCAGGTTTATGAACTATGGTACAGTGTCAACAGACTTTATTGTTGAATCTTATTTCTAGTTCACTCTTTATTTGATTTTTGTGCTGTCCAGAATCTGGGTCCTGGTAGAAGAAAGGGAGAAAACAAATTACCTGCTGAACAAATGATCAAACTATAATAAAATCCTAGCTTTATAGTATGTGTCCATCAAGGGTGGGTTCTACTTACCTTTACTACTGGTTTGCAACGGGATTGCCTATGATGACATCTGGGGTGGGGGGCGGAGCCTCCCGCCGGTTTTACTACCGGTTCTTGTGAACTGGTCCAAACTGGGGCAACCCACCACTGGTGTCCATGTAACACGAAGATGCAGTGATTCCAAGACCATAAATACTGCAAGCTCTTTTTATGTGAATAATCAAATAAAAAAAAAAGAGCCTACACTCTTTGTTCTGAGTCATTTCTCCATCTCCTTCTAGTCTTTTAAAGCTCTAAGGAACTGCTACATGGCTCAATTTTTCCAGTCACAATCCTTCTACCTTCAATTTCTCCTATGCCTGACTGGATACTCAGATCTGCATATTAAGATTAGACGTTCTTGATGCAACTGTATTCATTTCATCCCTCAAAAGTACCATTAGGAGCTATTTGACATGGTTTAGTAAAGCTATTTCTTCACAGGCAACAATTATTGGTACCCTATCCTTGTATCTCATCACACCATCAGTTAGAATTACAATGATGAATTAAATACCCACCCACTAGAGATGCTGTTTGATGGTTCACTTATGCTAGAAATAGCTTCCTTAACCTGCTTTTATTTAACTGTCTCTGCACATTTTCATTAAACCATATGTGTGCTCCCCTTTTGTGCATATGTGAGGGATTCTTTCCTGCAATATTTTTCTATGGGCCGTTCTCTGTGCATGAGTAATGGGTACAGTGACACAGGCAGAATCACTTTGATTTTCTCCATCTGCTTTTCACTTTCCCAACAAGACACTGATCAAGTGGGATGGGCACAATTGATGTGTTCCATATTCACAAGAGTATCTATTGTTGCCAAATAAATTACATTGACAAGATTTTACACATTTTCTTGCACCCTGTTGATTCGTAACATAACATGAGCCTGTCACTTACAAGACATCAGTCCAATTAAACTTCACAGGAAAAGTTCCATTTCATCACCAAAAATGTTGTCAGTTCATCAGAAAGAGCAAATATTATTCTAGGACAATCTAGCAAAAGATTTAGGTCTGGTTTGTCAGTGGACACACATGTTCAATGATCAATCAAATGGTTCAGCAGGTCCAGTTTCAAGGCGTGCAAGCAGAATAGATGGTGTAGTAGTGGAAATGTGTTTGTGACCATTTCCCCAGAAGTCCTTAGAAGCTTCTCTGGGCCACCTCACATTATCTTCCTTACGATGGTCCATTTTCTCTATAGGTCAAGCAATGCCTGCAATATTCTTAGCATTAAAAACCAGGTTCCAGCCAGTGCCCCATCCATTCTTATGTTACTTCACATAGCACTATTTTTTACAGCAGGGGAAAAAATGCCTGGTGAAAGTCCTAGGTGCCATAAACTCTTAATTCAGGAAGGCAAAAGGAAAGTGATGGGCTGGGGAAATGGGATGAAATGGAAGTTCTTTATCAGTGGGAAGTCGCCTGTTTTGCAGCTCCAGCAAAATGCCGTCACCAAAGTGTTATCTTAACATTTTTCTTCTGCACTGAAGCTGAGTCAGAAGGTAATCAACGCAGTTGCAGAAGAGCTGTAGAACGCACAAGCAGTGTGGGGCTGTCTGAAAATGCACATATGCTGCATGTGGAAGAGTGTTTTACATACTCGGTCCCAGCTGAGGCAAGATTGTAATGTTAAAAATAATATTTCTATACACGATGCTAATTGCTTATGCATTTTCTATGTAGTATTTACCCATACTGTATGGGTAATTGCAGGTAAAACCATATTTTAAGATTTCTGTAAATAATTTTTAGCTAGTATTGTGTATAATGACAATGTCTATTTTAAAAATACATCTTTTGTTTTTCAAATTAGGGGATTGGGCCAGGGTCAATCCTTAACTTTTCAACGTACAACATTATAGGATCAGATCTAAGCAACTCCAGTTAAAAATAAAATATGTGAAAGAAGTAGGGGTGTGCTCAGTGTATCATTATGAGATGGAATGTTCTGGAAAACACCAGAGTGTTCTGTTTCCTTCAGGTCCATGTTGATAGATGTTTCAATACTTTCCCCAGAAAACAAGGCCAGATCACATCTAATGTACTATGATACTAATCTCGTGTTGCAGATTTACTGCCTCCAGAAGGGCAGATTGGTAAAGTTTGAAATAAAACTATGCAGAATGTTCCAATGTTTCCTGAAAAAAACACTGTGGCCAATGTTTCCTTAACCAGAGGTGCTGGCCTAGAAACCAGGAGATGGTGAGTTATAATCTAGCTTTAGGCATAAAATCTACCTTGAGTTCACCTTGAGTTATTTATAAGTTAACTAGCTGGATACCCGTGCTTCACTACGAAACTATGTGATGGGGTTTGATAAATCGACACTTACAGCTTGAAAATTAATGAGTAGTTACGATCGGCCTCTCCTCTTCCCTTCTCTCCCTCAGCCTTGCCCCACAGAAATGTCTCCTATCCTATCTCCTTCTCTCCCTCAGGCTTGCCTCACAGAAGGCTCCCCTATCCCATCCCTTCTCTCCCTCAGCCTTGCCCCACAGAAGCCTATCCTACCCCCCTTCTCTCTCCTGGTTGCTGCTGTGAAAGTAAAACTGAAACTGAAACTCCTCTCCTCTGCTTGTGTTTTGCATTTCGAATAGATTTATTTTCAGGTGGGGAGGGGGAGTAGAACTCCTTAGCATCAGAGCCTGTTAATCATAATATAGGAAATACTAATGCTCTGATGGTCATTTTGAAAAATCCTTTCTTAGTGAGCACTTAGAAGCCAAGAGGAACATACATGGCAAATTTCAAGTTTGTAGGCTTTACAGTTCTGGAGATTTTGTGATTAGGCGTGAGTGGTTTTT